CTTTCTCATATTAAAGAGTTTTAACCCAACTGGAATGTCTTCTTGGAAATTCTGCCTTAAATTGTGCTATACTTTTCTGCTTATGCATATAGTCCACAGAATTGGTTTTTGGATTTCTTTGCATTTTCATCCAACAGTGTGTCCTCTTCTGGTACATCAGGTAGTGAATGATTTATAACATTTACAGTATGCAAAGAACTGTCTCGTACAGCGCTAACTCATTAATATTATACACTTAAAAAACAAAAAACTGGTCTGGTAGCACTCTGAAGAGTGGGCTGTACCCACAAAAGCGTATGATACATCTACATGTTTTGTTAGTCTATAAAGTGCTACCAGACCAGTTTTTGTTTAAGTTTATTCTGTATAGACTAACTTGGCTACCCCCTGAAGCTTCATTAACATTAACCATTGTACTTTCCAAATGTTGAGGACCACATTTGGAAGAAACAATCCAAATGAAGGAAGACACGAAAAACTATAAGGAGCTTAAAATGATTCAATTATTATATATATATATATATATTTTGTTGAGAAGACTTTTTCAAAACATTTTTAGTGTTAGAAAATAAATATGGTTATTAGCAAGTTTGTGCTGGTTGGTGGGACATTTGAAATCAATTGGCAGCACTGTGTCAGTCATTATGAAGGCAAACTGCTGATGAAGATGCACGTGCTCAAAAGTAAACAAAAGCAAAGTTTGTTTTGGACAGTATTTTCTTTGTCAATTTTAAGACACAAGACTCAGTTTCCAACGTACAGAGCTTTTAAAGTATATCATGTTGGTATGGTTTTATGACTTAAAAAAACAATCTGTGTCTCCTTCAAAGGATGGTATTTTACATACTCTTGTCACTAGACTGGAAGATATGTTATTGGAGGAAGTGTATTCAAGGTTAAGAAGGACTCAAATTTGGTACACATGGACTTTGTGAATAGGTTTAAAATGAAAAGTTACTTCTTTCAAAATGTTTAAAAAAAACGTTCAAAAAGTTTAAAGAGAAAAATCCCAGTTGCTTAGTTTTTCATGAGCAACTTTATAACAATTGTTTCAAATGCTGAATGGGCTGCTATATAACATCAAATATGGAATGCTTGGATTTTCTGTAATTATTCAAGTTTGCCAAGATAGTATTGCGTGTGCACAGTTCTGCTTGCATTGATCAAATCATTAAAATATAGAGCCTTAAAAACTAGTTAAAAGAAATATCTACATTTTATGGACTTGATGTTGGTAGGTTTTCAGTAAAAGGCATATCTACTGAAGACTGCAGTACTAGCATATAATTGACTTTCTAATAAAAAATGGAAAGTACTTATCATTTTTAGCTTTTGAAAATAAATTGGGAAGAATTTCTGATCTTTTTATAGCTCTTAATAGCATGAATATGTATAACATTGTAAGAGCTTTTTAATTTAATTAAAATAAGTCTCTGCATTTAGTAATTTTTAAAGATTTATAGACTAAATATAATGTCCCATCTATTCTTCAACTATAACTGAGATGGAGGACCAGGTTCAATATAGTTGGAAGTTTGTGTGAAGGAAGCCTAATGGGTTAAATCCAAAGTTTTAGTTTTACTGTAGTAGGCAGAGCCCAACTGTGCTCTCATTCATATTGGGTGGGGATGGGGGAAGGAGAAGGGAAGGAAAACAGTGCTGTAACCAGGTTAGTGGATAACTGAGTGTAGTCATGTCAGAGACACACATGATCAGAGTTGTCTTATGCAGATGACCTTAAATAGTGCTGCTTTAAATGTTTAGTTCTTTTTTTATAAGCTTATTTTTGAGCTGTAATATTATGAAAATGTTATATATGAATTACTCAGACTTTATCCTGCAAGCCCATGAGTATAAACCAACCTCAGAAGGAGATTGTACATGTCCTCTGTGCACAAATCAGGCCCTCGGTTTGTTACTTCAGCACACCATGGGGCCAGGAGTGGGAGCTGGCCTCCGGGGTTTTATCCACAAAAGTTCATGACATGATATATTTGTTAGTCTCTAAGATACCACAGGACTGCTCATTACGTTAGTCTGTAATTTTAAAAACAGCTACCTCTCTGAGACTTATTGCAATATTCAGGGCTCGCCGAACCGCAGCGAGCCCTGCTCGCCAGCCACACTGTCCGGCGATCTACGCATGCGCAGATCGTTCTGCTCATGCGTAGATCGCCCAAACCTGGCTCTTCCGGGTTACAATCTACTCGTCATGGGTGAGTAGATTGTATTATTTGTCGAGCCCTAGCAATAGTAATCTTAAATGAAAGTTCTAGAAGTAAAGTTGCAAATTTAAGGGGGTGCTGGTGAATCTGTTTCTAATCCTATGAGTCATCATGCAGTTCTTCAAAGCTTTTTTGTTGTTGTCCTTTATAATGAAGTGTTTTAAACAGTTTCAAAAAATACATTTTTTTCCCGTTGTGCAGGCTTTGTTGGGCTAAAAGAGTTTTTTTTTAAAGCAAAATTAACAAGTGTCTTACTCTCAATCATAGGAAGACAAAAACTCAGTAGTTTCTTTTTTTTAAAAGGCCAAGCAGTGAAACACAGTGTCCTAATTGGCACAATTTTTAAAAAGAACAGTGTGAATAAAATATTTTTGATTATCTTATCCCCTGAGAAAGGTATTGCTTATTTCAACTAAATGGGAAATATTATGGTACTCAATCGCATGGTGCTGCCAGTCCCAGCAAGCTGAGAGAGCTCCTGCCATGGGGAAAGGCAGCAGCAAACAGCTGGGAGCTTCAAGGAGCTCTTCCTGGGACCTAGGCACTGCAGTGAGGGGAACTGAGGGTAAGGGTGGGATGCAACTCAAGCTGTCGGGGGTGTATGAACCTTTAAATAGTGCCCCTGTACATTCAGCAGGCACCTATTGTCTCTGGAATAAGCTCCTAACCCCACCAGCTCACCACAGGGCTGAAACCCTGAGTCCCCCCTCCAAAAACTTGATAGGCAGAGAATG